AAGCGGGTCAAAACTTTGCCACGAGAAAGCCACCTAACTTCTGTATGAAGTAATGTAGAGACGTGGAGACTTCCCAAGTCCTCACGAAGTTCACGGAATAGATCAGAATTTGTAGCACGGGACTTTATAGTATTCACAACTTTTAGAGCTTCGCTTAAAGTACTGGCTAACTCTGCAGGAATACGCTTACATGCCAATGTTTGCCAATGAATACAGCAGTGAGGCCATTCTATATTGTGGATGATCTTCTTTATTCGTGCCACAAAACCAGAATATGTTCCACTCATTGATTTTGCACCATCTGGGCAGACACCTAAGCAAAATGACCAGTTGATTTCATGTTTTTCAAAATAGTCATTGATCAAATTAAAAATTGCATCACCAGTTCCCAGTGCTTTTGCAAATAACACATCTTCTTGAATGGAATTCTTAAAAATATATCTAACATACACGAGCAATATTGCACAGTTTGGTCGACTTGTCAAGCTGAATAGCAAAATAATTCAATTTTATTCTTTTCAAAAGTTCACTTTTCAACACTGTTCGCCAAATCGTTAATTCTCCGTGACACTGTGCTGTTTGATAAGGGCACAAGGTCGATTTTTTTGCCACATTTTCTCCAAGCATACATATTGCGATCGATGTCTTCAGGACAAGGTCCGATCAAATTTTCCGCCTCTGTATGAGATTTTCGAGATCTTTCGATTCTGTAACTAATTCGAAATGATGCTTCAAGAGCCAATTTACTATCTGTGTTGAAAGCGGACAGGAAAGAAGAAACACTACAATTCTTATTACCTTCCAATTTACTTTTAAAATATTCAATAGATTTATCCTTGTAATCCGGATGTCTTGTCTCAAGGTGCCGACGAAGAAACGATGGAAAAACTACTGTTGGCCAGGACTTTATTACAAATTACACAAAGCGGTTTAAGATCCGACTCTTCCCCGGTGAAATAAAAACCCATTTGCAAATACTCAGTGTCGTATTTTCGTTTCATTCCTTTTGTTCCACAATGCTTGTCTATTTTCTCACTACTATTATTCTGGCGAGAAGGTACCTCACTATAACTTTCAATATCGCCACCCTGTGTTGGACCCAAATCGGGAACCGAAGAAGAAGCAGTAGTTGATTGATCATCTGGCTTTCCGTCAGAGTTCACAAAACTGCCCGTTTTTAATCAACTGTCCATCTTAAACTTACAGAATACTCCTTCTCTTTGTTCTACCCCTGTCAAAGTCGCTAACATGGTGATAATTTGGACGTATTCGAACTCGAGGCATTTTGTTATGCTTAACACTAGTCAATGAAAGGGCACTCTGTTGCTTGAAATTGATCTAATTCATTTTTAGAACACAACAGGGAAAACTGTTTCACAACAAAAAAGCTACGGACAACCCAGTGACTCTAGCTCAAACTTGTACCGAAGGCGGATCATGTTCCCCTCCAATTCCGGCGCCTCCAGTGTTGCCAGATCGAACAACTCGTTGCCAGTGTCATCACAATTTGCAGACCCTCGTATGTGTGATTACTGGCGTCAAAAATGGCTGATCATTATCCGCGATATTCTGATGTTGCAACACGTAGTCGATCTCTTCCGTTCTAGAAGCAAGTGTTAATATGACTCATCTTAATAGGTCAGAACTTATAAAGTCAATGTTTGAGCAAAGAGTAGTTACACAAAGAAGACACTTCCACAAAACACCTGATGACGTTTAATCACGTATTGTTGCCAGACGGATGATTATATTTTGGATGAATACATTGCCCACCACTTGCAGCAAGACTAAGCAATTTTGTTCAAATTCATTGTTAGTTATGCATGGTGGGAATATTCATCATCCATTTGTTGTCTACGAAATATATTTTTCATTAAATGCGTACGTATAGAATATTTATGTACAAGTACAAAACATTTTTGTAAGCTTATCGATTAGAACAGACACAAAAGACAACCGATATGGTGATATTCTCCGCATTAACTAATGGATTCCATAGTTATAGTATATTTTAGCTAAATCGTTAAAATGCATGTCAGACATTTTTTAATAGAGTGCATTATATCTTGGGAATTTGAATGTAGGTAACATACAACAATGCGCTTTTTCACGATTTTTGGCAGATCACAGTAAATTACAGGAATTACTTCCAAATCTTCATACATCCATCTCTCACACATGCATTTGCAATAGCGCTTTATTCGTAGATATCTGTTTTGTTTCACCGATTCGAAGATTTCCTTGTCCACGTCCAAATCTTTCACATTTACGGTTATTACTGGATGACAGGTCACATGGACGTGCCATTTGAGTTTACCTCTTGATAATATCTGATATACAACATAGAAATATTTGAAGATACAACTGTAATGTCGTCAACCCGTGTTAAATTTTTTGGATTATTTTCAAGAAAAGGTCAATGAAAATAACGATCGTCTGTTACACATTTCATGGGGTGTGCATAGCATGCAATTTCCCTAGGAAAGTTAAGCGCCACAACTGGTAATCGGGTTGCTTGTTTCGTATGGCATTGTGACGTAATTGCAAATACCGCGAAAAGAATGTAGAAATCTAGCAGTGGTTAAATATTTTCTATCAGTTCGGTAACACCGCATGGTCGCTTCTCCAGTAGATGACATCTATGAGCGAACCACCAAACTAAAGGCGGATGATCCATGAGCGAACAGCCAAAGCAAGGGCGGTTCGCTCATAGATCGCTGTGTTTTTTTTGTAAACTAGTACAGGCAAAGTCAATGAAGCCGACCGAAGATGTTCCAGGCAGTGGTATAACTACTTTTTGGTGTAGATATTTGTGTGTATGATGAGTTATTTTCTGCCTAAGCTACCACGTTTCTCACGGCTGGATGCTGTCATATAATATCATTATGCAAGAGCATCGAACGTAAGCTCCGACACGCTTCTAGTCCTCCTCCAGGGCAAATCCTGCGGAGAGCAAGTCACCACTTACATTTTCTTGATAACCACCCCCCTCTCCCCACAGTCTATCCTTCCTTCTACCCCCAACTTAATTAACTCCCTGGAGCCCTACGGGTCCTTTAAATGCGGCAAAACCGACGGAGCTGCCCGAACGTACAACGACAAGGTCATTTTTGTTGAGCTGCTACTCGAACAAGCTATGCCACAACTTTAATTATGAGAAGGGCTCTGGAGTTGTGTGTGTAAGCTTAGCTGTTCAAGGGGAGTGTTCCAATAAATTTCAATTATGCGGGTCAATGGCCATTCCGCTTTAATGCCAATCGGATATAATCGCTTTTCATAGGGAGGCGTTCGTCTTTCAAAGCTTATTCCATGGAAAATATCTACCCCCTATATTTTCCACGCATTACAATCATCTTCTTGTTTGTTGATCTAACGATTCAATAAACAACATGAATAAAATAATAAAAAACTTGACGTAGAAGATTGAGAAATTTTCCTATATTTTCGGATTCGCAAAAAGGAGGGTTGTTAACAAAAACTTTGTACGTCGAGATGATTCTTAGCTATGTCTGAGAAAGATAGGCTCAGCCGTTTAAAATTAATGGGGAGGGGCTGCGAACGTCGGGGTGAGTAACCCACTGTAAGCGAATACGCTTATGTGGGATGTAAGGTCAAATCTTTGATTTACGGATTAAACCGCTTCATCTGTTAAGAAAGAATGGGAAAGGTAAATGTGGAGATGAGCAAAACAAAGTAAGGGGATATGCCTGAAAGGGTTTAACGTGTAAATCACTAAACCGGTCTTTTATGCACCAGCTGGGTGCGAGATCAAATAAGTCATCGCTGGAGCTGGTTTGTGCAATAATTTGTTACCAGTTTTTAACCATCTGCACAAGAACTCCTAAGTCGATGGACCAATTTGAGTGCAGCTTTTTTAACCGGAGGTCTTGCTATCGAAAGTAGCTATTTAATGCTGTAAAAAGTATCACCACGAGATTCACTTGAAGGTCGGGTATTTTAACATGCTAGCAAACAACTTTTTCTCATTCCACAGATACTTGAAACATAATTATCTTACTTTTTTTTTGTTAAATAAAAAGTGGAGTAAACCTTAGTACGCGTGTGCATGGGTGTTTGGAGTCGGAACTTCTAACATAATATTTGAGCTTCGAATGTTATCCTATGACTTGTTCAGTTTCAAAGGCACTCTAAATTGTATAAACCGAAAGAATCTGAAAAATTTTGAAAGTCGTTCTGAACGCTAAATATAGAATTTTGTCATTGCTGATTTTTGTGCGTTCAAGTTACTAACTTCCTTTTCAAATCTTTGTAGAGATAATTATAATAAAATGTAAAACTAAAGGCGCGAATGAAGGATACGAAAAAACATGTAGATCATTATATGCAATCAAGGTTCTTAAATCATTCTTAAGTATAGAAAACCTCTTAAAAGTTTACTATGCAATGGTTCAATCAGTGTTATACCTTGTGAGATCTCTGTGTGGGGAGAGTCAGCTGACGTACACAGAGTTTTTGTATTACAAAACAGAATAATCAGAATCATTTATGGGCTTCAGTATTTGGAATCATGCCGTGAAATATCCAGGAAAGAAAAAATACTGTCCGTAACTTCACTCTATATTTTGAAACTGTTATCTTATACTCAACTAAAAACAGTTACATCACCCATAAAGATGGGCATAACTACGACACACGACTAAAGGATACAATAATATGTATGTATATGCAATTTCCATGGATCATCCTGAACAATATATTCTATCATTATATCCATTTTGACGTATTTTTTGGGGTTTTTCCAATGTAAGGTAAATTTGTTGTTGTGTAATTATCTCTCACTAAGAAAGACATTAGTCGACGCTACTGTTTTTTTATGATAAATCTATTCAGTGAATGATTATTTTGACGGTAAGGATAGACTTACTCAAGAGTTAATTTATAATATTTTGTACTGCAGGGTATTGTCATTGTTGCTACTATACATAATTTTATTGATAACATTGACTATATGGAAAATGGCTGTAATTAAATACAAATACCTATATTGTCCTTGTTTATGATTGTGAAGGCACAAGCATTCATAGTAGTTTATAAAAATCTTTGTAATTGTATATTTCTTTTATAATTAATTTTAGCTAGTTGGTATACTTCTCTTTAACAATGTTCTATGCCTCGGCTTATGAATAAATAAAAACTTATCTATCTACGAGTATCTGTTGTGATATACATAATATGTACTAGCGCAGTTGCTGGCATGCTAACGCTATGCAAAATATTGTACGTTGATGTCTTTATTTAAAACCTTACGTAGCGCAGTTGCTGGTATGCTAATGCAATGCTAGCGATATACTTTATCCCTATCTTTAATCATTTTCTATCCTTTAGCATCTTTGATCTGTTATTTGTTATGTATTATCTGGTATCTCGTATCTATTATCTGTTATCTGTTATCAGTTATCAGTTATCAGTTATCAGTTGTCAGGTGTCAGGTGTCAGTTGTCAGGTGTCAGGTGTCATTTATCAGTTATCAGTTATCAGTTGTCAGGTGTCAGGTGTCAGTTATCAGTTATCTATCTACGAGTATCTGTTGTGATATACATAATATGTATTTTTTGTTGCTTGCACCTGACCCGTGGAATCATTTTTTGTAAATTACCACCTATAAATAAATGAAATCAAATAATTTTCCATGCTGATAGGTACTCCAAGTATTGACAGAATATTATATAAGGTTTGTTCGTACAGTGGTCGGCTACTTGTCGGTGACTATGTCTGAGAATGTCTGGGCCGTGCGAATTCCGCCTATAGCAGAGTGAACGGAATTTGAACACGGTCACTGACAGGTTGGCAACTGCTGTGCGAACTGGGTTGAAGGCAAATTTTCTTATTTCTTGGTATTGAAGGGGCAAGTACTTGAAGCTAAAATTCTAATGTACCAACAGGCCACACTACATATTTACATCTGTAATTTCGTCACAGGCAATAAATAGATAAATCAATGAAAGGGTCACTCGCGGATCCCATTTTATCTGTCTGTTGTCAAAATTGATTTGGGCCGCAGGTTTGATATGCATGGTCTACAGTATGCGCACACATTATACACTCGGCATTAGAACAACCCGAATCTGAAACGATATGTTAATATGCTGTATCATTCATATCCCCGTCTTGTAGCCAATTTCATTCGTAGCGTGATGTTTCGTGTGTATCATTGCAAAGCTAATACAATATTTATGCATGCTCTGCGGCAATGTCCTCCAGGTACATATGACAATATATCCGAGATTTCCTATGAGGATTTGTCGGATCTCGTTGCATTTGGCGTATTCCTCCATGAAACTGTTGAATCCTATAGGCGTGTATATGTCACTACGTCTATTAAAATGTCGTTCTCGATTCCAACGACAATATTGCGCGTCTCTATTTAGGCACTAAAATGCTTGGAATGAATCTGAATTTTGTATTACTGCGTAATGCAGTGGTGGTACATATGTTGGTACTAGAAGCTTGTAGAACCGTAGTACAGATAAAAATGGCGTTAAGTAGGTTGACTCTGTACTTCCTACGCAATGTCATCAGTTCATAAAGGATTAAGTTCACCGGAATTTAAATCGTCTGAGAAAAAAGGCAGTTACGAACAGTACAACAGAGAAAATGAACGGATTAAGTCAGTCAAACAGGCCCATACAAATAGTCCATAGACATTCTTTCCCTGCCCTACCAGCAGTTGCTGGCCATCTGGCAACTTTGTCCCTTTCAATATCTGCTCGGCATCTCTGCTGCAAGTTATGTTCATGCATGTGTTTATTACGCTGCAGTAAGGATAGATAAGCAAGCCGGATCGGGTCGCCGGGCGATCAGGTTAGAAGATAGGAGTACGCGAATAGAAAACATTGCTCTTTCATTCTGCTTTAAACGTAAATGTACGGGGAAACCTATGATGTGTGAAATATGGCTAATTGGTGCATATATTTACCGGGGCTGAGAGCGTATAGATTTAGGTTAGGTTTCTTGTGAGTGCATCAATAACGATCCTTCACTGCGACTCTTTGGTCTATTGTGGCTCGCGCGTATAGATAAAGAACACAAAATTTTTATATTCCCTGCCGAATTACAATCCCTTCAAAATTTTTTTCGAAAATAATCAGGAGACTCTAAAACGTGCGATGTTTACTTATTTCGGTTTTGGCATTTTTCTTTGCCGCCGTTGGACCGACTTTCAAAAATACAAACATTTTTTGGAATAGTAGCAACATTGTGTCACCGAGCGGTAGTTCTCATATTATAGACGGGCCAAGGATTAGGGTACAGGCAGACGCCTTTCGGTCTCAACAAATAGACAGACGGAGGTGACATGATGTACATGTCATAATAACCTAAAAACACAATATGTCGTTTTCAAAAATTTTTGCGAGTACAATATTTCCGCGCCCAGTGACGTAGGAAGTACAGTGATTGAGTTTGAGCACTAACTCGAACCATATCGCTGGAGAAGCCTGGAGCCAGCTCCACAACAGGAGTGTCTAGATACAACTGGATATCGATTTCAGTAAATTGTTTGAAGCTCTGAATAAGTCAGATAATTGGAGTCGTCACCGATTTTGTTACATTTGATTTATCTGGCATGTGGTTTTGGTTTGGTCTGCTTCGGAAATGAGCTACAAACAATACAAATACGTATTCGCATGAAATAACACTCTTAGATTACTGTGCACTATCAAAACTGTGCACTGTGACAAACATTTCTAGCACTTGGATTTCAAACTGTCACACTTCATACATCACAACTCTTTAAATTAATTAAGTCATCGTTGATTCTCAAAGCGGTCATCAGCTCTTGTCTCATAGTATTGGTATTAGTTCATTAGTTTGTCAAATCTGATAACCCACCAGTCGTTAAGTAAAAAAGGGAAAAAAAAGCAGGGAGGGAGACAGCAAAGAATAAGATGAAAATCTTTTAGGACTGAATGCGATTAGGCTTTGTATTTAGAGTGTCGAGAATCTGGAACAATCTGCCATAGGGCGCTTAAAGGAGCCCTTATATATCCCTACATTCCCTAAGCCTCAAGCTCCGCCCTTCTAGCAAAGTTGAGTCCCAGCTCCTTAACATTCTAGGGATTCAAAGTGATGGACTCCTAGTATAGTCTGCGTGTTATGGTCAGACCAGTCCCACCAACAACCTTAGGTTGGCTCTATCCAAAGATAGGCAAAAGCGTCCATCCTTAGCACTGCACTGGGTCGTACGATGCCTGACGGAGATCCCAGAGATGCTTCATTTCTGAGAGTGTAGACTTGCAATCTTTTTCTCCATTTTCCTCCTGACTCCGGCCTGGCTCAGGACCAACAAGTTTGCTAGCTGAACCTGCTTTCGCAAGAGCGTCCGCCGTACCATCGCCATTTATCCCAGCGTATCCGGGTACCCACCCTAACGATACTGGATGCCTCGTAGCTAGACTATCCAGAGCCTCCCTGCATTGCAATACAAGGCTCGAAGTAATCTTGCGGGTACTTAGCGCCTTCTGTCGAAGAACCGCAGCCTGGCTATCGGAAAAGATTATTTTTTTCCTAGGCCCTGCGAACATTAGGTTAAATCTTTAAACTCCTGATGGCAGTCACGGTGTCCGTAGGCTACTGCCTGCGCGGCAGTACATGAAACAATTGTGAAATGTTTGTCAGAATGCTCTAATTTGTTCTAAATTCACGAATTTAATGAGGTTGCTAAACTGCTTAACTGGGTAGTTCAGTGATATAGCAGGACTTTCTCATGGTAATCACAGCTCCTATGACCTGAATCGAGAAACTAATATAAATAATAACATAAATCAATCAGTATACATAATGCCAATATAATATAACAAAAGCATTTTACAATGCCTATGTATATAACATCACTCTTAGTTAGGTTTTTCACGTATAATGCAGTGTTCTTCTTTAAAAGGTGTAGTAGGAATATTGCTAACTCAAATAGTAATAGAATTCGTTTAAAAGTGCATCTCAGACTTCATCTCCTACAGCCTAGGATCAGCCGATAAATGTCCTTTGGTTCTAAACTCAGGATCCATTATAATTCTTTATTTCCTATTTTAAAGATTCATAGACATACATATCATTCACTATAGACGTAGAAGGGTTGTAACGTGCCAAAACCACCTCACTTTTTTTTATCATTTTGATCACTTACCAGTAATTTGAATTTTTCTTTATTAATGGTGGAGGCCAAACCATTTTTAATGATTTTCCTTCGGCAAATTGCATAGTTTATTAATTGTATATGATTAAACACGTATTCTATCTTTCTTTCTTAGTGAAGTCTTTTGGACACTAATGCAGTAGTGTATTAACGACTATCTCAGAAATTTCCTCACAAAATATCGATGGTCCCTCGTAGAGTTGGTTTTCTGGGATCTGCGCATCGGCAATCAGCAAAACACTCTGTGGTTTTTCTCCGTTTCTTTTGGTTTTCTGTCGAACATACCTTCAGCTTTGTTTTTAGCTGCCTTGTAGCTGCTTTGCAGCTGATATTGTTTGAAGCTTCCCCTTGAGAAAAAAAAACCCTGATGTGAACAGGTAAAATATCATTTTAATCAACTATTTTACAGATATTTATATATTGATTATTGCTGACTGAAATTCTTAGAGTGTACTTGATTTTGTTTGACATTTTACGTATTCAAATATGGGGCAGTACCTACATGACACCTTCTTTAGGGCTTGCCCCATACATTGATCATGATTCATATTTTTTTTTTTAGAATAAGTGTTTATTACTTTAGTACATTTTTATCTTTTTTGCCTTTGCTTTACTTTTCTTGTAAAAAGTTCGAGTGTTTGAATGCGTAGTTTGTCTCAGACAGAGAACAGAGAGTAGATTTTTGAGCAGTCTTTCTCTCTCTGGGTTTTTTTCTGGACCGTAAATTTCTAATACGATGCAAGCAGCCCTTACCTTGTGAAGTTCCTTGCGTCTCGGTTCATTACTGGCCACACCGTATACCATGGTAGACGTGTGTGGGGTTACATTTAAAACATCTTGTGCGGCAGCTTTAGATAATATCTTTTTTTAACTTGTACTCAGTGGTGGAACA